CTTGTGGTTATGGCAGACTTCTACTACCATGTATAGTACCTTCTATATGGCTTCCTACCTCTGCCATAAGAAAAGTAGAAAGCTTTTTTTTCTTAAAGAAACATCATAGTATTGCTACAAAAGATACCTAATGAATTCTTATTCTTAACAAAATATAACAATCTCTATCTGCCCTTGTGTCCGGAAGTGAGAACATGTCTCCATTTCAGTGGGTGGCAGAACAAAATTCATTACAGGATCAGACTCAAGCCATACTTGGGTTCTGAAGTAGATATTTATACTTCACAGTAGCTATGATGTATTTTTTAGTCAATGGTAGACCTTGTTCATCTTTTAAAGTTCCATGTAAATGAAACTCAATGAATAATTAATGTTCAGGCTCAGTAAGATGGAGATGGACACACATGTACTCAGATTAAAAGTCTCACAGGAAATGTGTCTAGTCATTGAAATGTGGCTTAAGAAATTGTTTAATTTTCATTCAGACAGTACATGAAGCAAAACATACGTGCCTGCAACTTTTACCAGCAAATTGATAGAATAAGTTTTATTTATACAGAACTTTTAAAGTATTCATCACCCTTTGAGTTTATGGCAGCAGTTTATTGACTTCTTTATCTTTTCTACTGTGACTTCAAGTTGTCCAAGTCCACAGAATAATATATCCTTATGAAAAGACTGACTAGAAAAGCCATAAGGTTTTATTCTGTTTGAAAACACAGAACCTTTAGAGAATCTCAATTCCATCTGGATGGGCATTTTCAGCTTCTACATTGCCAAATTGATTTTAAAGAAGCGGTTTCCTTCTGTCTGATTCTTACAGATGTAGATATATCATCATGTAGATATATCATAGTGGAATTTAACATATAGTTGGACTTTTGGTGTTTAAAACTTTTATTTTCCAGAAAGACATTAACAGACATTAGACTGACAGAAAAGAGGAGCAAAATAGAATTAGCATGAATTAAGTGGAATAAAGAACAACAAAACAAGTAATATTTATTATACAAAACGGCTTATAAAGAGCTATGACTCTTCATCTGTGCCATACAGGAAGGGCAATTACTGGCAAAAACAGTGGAAAAAAAACCTCAAAATAGTCTCTCTTAATATGAGATGTTGCATAATGAAGGTTGTTTTGTGGTTTGCTTCTGTGAGCAAAGATTTTTTTTTTTTTTGTTACAAAAATAACAATGCTAATTGCTTTTGCTATCCAACAGAATCTTGAGTAACAGAGATAACAACTATTTTTTAAGAGCTTTAACTGGTGCTAATTCTTTTTTATTCCTCTCTTTGTTCCAGAGCCTATCTTCCAGATCTTTCAAAAGAAATAAATAATGTTGACTGTGGCTGTACTGAAGTTGTTTTGGTATATGTTCATTTTTGTCTCCATCATAAAACATGAACACTCAAGTGAGATGAAATTTGGGAAAATTTGGAAGTCAAGAAAGCTGTTTGCTGAAATTGCTTCAAGGACTTGAGGAGCCACAGACTGGATATTAAGTCAGCATCTCAATAAGCTAACAGTTGTTCTTCCTAAAAGCTTCTGAAGGACCGAAATGGAACATCATCATTCACCCAGGAGAAGAATTTATACCCCAAAAAAATGTAGCGAGCTACACCATCACTGACAAAATATATTTTGAAAATACTGAGCTTCCTCAAAAGCTCTTGTCATAACATTAAGCATGGCTGAATCTTGCACAGTTGCAAATTAAAACATGCCAAAAATAGCGACTCAAAAGGTGAAGCTAGAAATAAAGGTTTTACAAGGTCCAGATCAATTCCAAATTCATTCCTCATCTAAGACACCAACTTTTAGGCCTCAATGGCAAATGCAAAACCCAGATGCTCTGCAAAAACATGAGATGCTCTCTACAAAAGGTCTATCCAAAAGACAGCGATAGAAAGATCAGATCATTTCCACAGGGGCTATTGTTAATGACTGTAATCTAAAGTTTAATGTTGTTACTAGAATTAATATTGACCTCAGTTGATTCACTGGTGTTTTAGCTAAGAGAATTCATAATTTTTTTTAGTAAGGTCATAAAACTACTTCATTTCAACGTTTGCACCAGTGCTCTGTTTTAATAACTTTGAATAAATACCGTTCTGCTTAAATTGAGTGGGAGCTGGAATGTAAAACCTGTGCTGCTTAGCTACTTTCACAACTGACAATTTTTGCAGCTGTGTGCTGCCAGTTTATTTTTTTTGACAGACAAAGTATTCTGGCTTTTCATGACAGCCAAGATAGCCTATTCTGGTGAGACTGCAAAAGGGTGAAAGGAAAAGGCAACATCTGATAACACCTACCTACACTGAATAAGTCATGCAAAATGCTCTCACTGTCTGAGAGCTGTGAAACCAAAGAAGGCTTGACACACGTTTGCAGGTATTAAACCCACACACCATTTCCAAGCTTTTGATTCCCCTTCATTTCTACTGCAGCGATGCTGAAAGAGTTCATGAACAGGATTGATATTAAGGGCTTGTTTTCACCAATTAACTCCTGTTGGAACTGATCTGCAATGTTTGCCAAGCTACAGTCTACCATTTCAAGCAATATTAGTATATCCCACAGCTAGATTTAAAACTCCTTACAGGAAGGCAGGGGTTAAATTAGTCCTAAGTTAAGCAACTTAGATGTAATTAGGAACTAGCTATAACAAGGCTTTATTTATTCACTCCTGTTAAGTCTTATGATGGTTTCAATACTGTTGATACATTATATTGAATTCACTGGGCTTATTATTTGTGACACTGATATTTTTGCATTCAGTATATGTCTATGATTAACCAATGTGGAGGTCTGAGTGTTAAATAATCAGAGTATAAGCAAACAACAGTTTGAAGACTTTTATCTAGACTTCCACTATTATGAAATTTGAAAGAACTAAACAGGCATCTTAGTATGGCACTCTCTAACAACAGTATGAATGCCCCAGAAACTTGTGTGAAGATTATCCTCTACATTTTTTTTAGTAACACCACCCTTACAGGCTCCAAATAGCCATTATTATTTTATTATCCTTTTGAAGACTGGTGTATAGAGAATCTGTTTTTCATAACTCTATTTCTTAAAGGAGAATGCAGACACTGAAATGAACTCTGAGGCAACTCTTGTTGCAGGAGGTCAATAAGGAGGATTTATTTACGTTGACTACTTGTTCTCCTGAAAGAACAGGAGACAAGTTAATGGTGTATGGTATTCTTTTACTACCTCGAAAAATTGCTCATTTCAGTGATCAGTGACGACTCAATGTAATGAAGGGTCAACTGTCTCCCAATACACAAAGCAGGAATTTGCACACTCTGCCAGGTGTATGCCTTCACAACATGACGCTGGACAGGAAGCAAATAGTTCCCCAGAACTCTTGTGATGCTTATTAGACCCTGTCATAGGTGTTTACTAATGACAGAGTGATCTGCACCCAAATAAAAGGGAAATATTGGTATTAACTATTATGCAGTGTCAATGCTGTCATAGTTCTGAGTGCTGCTTATCCACATAGACTGTGTGGAAAAGGAACCACCATAACCACTTTAAGCAAAAGATTTAAAAGATGAGATTTGCAGGATGGCTTGTACCAGTAGGTGTGAACTAGTCACAGAAGAAAGGATAAAGCGCCTGGATGTTTTCTCCCAATATGTGCCACAGGAATCTGGGCAGCAACATTTCTCCCTTTTTAAAAGGCGGTAAAGCATAAAAACCTTTATCCTCCCTGTTTATATAACGTGCAACACATTTCTGTCTTACAGGCCTATTTTGCCAGAGAAAATGTATTCTATTTAACATGATACCCTGAAGCCAGGGAGGAGCTTAAATGTCAAAATCCTTTCTACAAGTCATGTTTCAGAAATTTATCTCATATTATAAAGTTGTTCCATAGCTACATAGCTCCCATGAGAAAAAAAAGCAATTTACGCTCTACACTGAAGCACAATTCCTTGACTAATCAGTGTTAAAGAAAACACTAAGCTGTAGTTTCATCCTCCTTACTGTGGCCATGACATGATTTAAAATGCTCTTTTATCAAGCTTGACACTTGGTCTATGAGTGCAAATTGCCCAGGGGGGGCAATCAGAGTTACGTTTCTTCACCCAGGAACTATACATGGTGCTAGGTTGCCCCATGCACCAAGGCTCATTAGGTGCCTATGTGCTGACTTGTGGCCCACACAGGGACTCAGAGCTGAGGCAAAGGAGAGGCAGGAGCCTGGCACATCTCCAGCTCTTCAGTAAGGCTGTGGAAAATGCCTGCCTTGCCCCTATATGCACCTATTATAGAGGGAACTTGAAAGCAAAGGGAGCCACCTTTCCTGAACTTACAATGGATACAAGCAGCAATCATTCCAAAACCACCAAGGCATTGGGGCTGTAAAGTGTAATCTCTGAGAAGAAAACACCAGTTTTCAAAATGCAAGCATTCAACAGATGGGAGTGTGTGTTTTGAGGAGCCCCATGCACCAGGGACGACTCCTAAATTCTGACTGTAACTTCAAGCACTTTGTGGGGGGAGGTTTGTTTTGGAATAAAGCCCAGAGACTAAATGGCAACAGTCCCAAAGCCCTGGCTTGAATCTCCTCCTGCTTTGCCTCCACATGTTTCAAGCTTACCTTGATGCAAGGAGCTGGCAACGGTCTGTGCAGAGGGGACGCCCGCCTTGGTGCCTCTGCAAGGAGCTGGCATGGAGCAGCTGGCACCTCTTTGGTAGCAGCAGCGAGGCAGGGCACAGTCAGCAAGCCATGAGGAGAGTCACTCCGTGCACTGGGGAGCTACAGGGCCGCAGGACAGCCCCAGCCACAGGGTACAGGCACCTCCCAGGCTGAGCACAGGCCTGGCTGTGGGCCTGCAGGTGGGCCAGGCTCAGTGAGGCCATGGCCAGGCAAGGCCGCAAGGAGCTGGAGCCTGTCCCTGCTGTGGTGTTGCTGTGACAGGCGGCTGGCAGCTGCAGGGGGGCTGTTGTGGGGTTCTGGGCACTGGGCAGGGATGGGGACCCCTAGGGAAGGCTGTGCCTAGGCACTGCTTACGCAGCTGCCTCTCAGTAGAGGCCCTGGTGCAGATCTTGGGGTGCCTTTGGCTACCACAGGGAAGGAGCAAGAAAGAGGAGGAAAGGTAAATCAGTATTTACATATGTAATTGCATGTTGTGGTTAATAGCAGGATACTTTTTAAAAATTATTAACAAATTACTAGTTGTTTTTATCAGGATAAATAATAAATTATGGATGAATATTGAAGAAAGAATTGCCTTTATTTCTCTCGTCACTCTTAGGTGAAGGCCACAGACAAGTCCAAGATCTTTCCCTCAGTGAACAGACTCCCTGTGTCGCAAGAAAGTCTCCTTTGGTAGGTCTTGGAAATAGGCAGTCTTGTTTAAGTATAGACAATGCATCATGCTGTCTTGTTTTTAAAACAACCTAGCAGTTCTACTTGTAATAGTTTGTCCAGAGCTACTCAGGCTCTGTAGCTTCCGGAATGTGAGGTTTAGCCCGTGGTCATCTGTTTATTCCTGACTCCAAATACCAGCCTCATGCAAAACATTTGAAAGAAACTAATTTTTTTCCCATCATGCCACCAATCTCCCCAAATGTGCTTATTTAAGAGGATCTATCTTGTAAGTTAGTTATCCCCATTGTGATTATGACTGAATATACTCTATGCCTGTCTCACTAGACATTAGGATATTCAGTGATAAAGCAATTTACTGAGTTTACTTCACAACGTCTACACAAAATAATACTTCAGGATCATCTTCCCCTTGTCACCCCTCTGCAATTCTTCTGTTTTCTGTGGCTCCTGGGAGTGCTGGATTTTGAGCTGACAGCTGTGATTTATTCACTGGCAGCCATCTGATTTACACACAGATCTGGGCCAAAACCCTATCTAAAATGTGTTTTAACAGTAAGGAATAAAATAAGTTCAAGAGAGAGATGTCAGAGATATTACATTATAAGTTATTACCTCTAATAATTCTATCCTAGTCTATTACTGGTTTGTGTGTTTCTTTCGTTGTTTACAGCAGTTCTGAGGTTTGTCTGTAACATGCATAAACACTGTTCATGGAATACCTAGCTTTTTAAATGCCTGCTAGTAAATAGAGGCAAAAAAAGCCATTTTGGGTGAATTAAAATAGCATCTTAATTCACGAGTGCACCAAGCAGACCTTCAATCATTGCTCATCTGTGACAACCTCAAACTTCTAGTAGTTCAGAGCAAAGAAAGTATCTGAAATATCTATTAGTGTCCTTTACTATTATAGTGTCCTTTAAGCAACATTGGAGACTATGAGTTAATGTGTCACTCTACAAGCTGTAGAGTGCAAGCTATAAGATTCCCTACAAGCTACAAGATTCTCTTGCAATATAGTTATTAAAGTTATACTAGTTATACTAGTACTAGTTATTAAAGAACACACTAATGGTGCTAGGATTTTCTTTGATGGAAACACTGTTTACCACCAGAAATGCAGAATTTCACCCAGTGACCTAGGAGTAAGACCTGTGGGATTTCCATGCAGCAAGACTTCTGGTTCAAGGAAGAGAATATTCTCAGAAATGGCAGTCAGCCTTGAATTTGGGGTATCCGGAACTGATAATCATCTATGATGGCCCTAGTTAAGCTATCCCACTGGCCTGTATTTTAAAACTTCATTTTATTTCAAGAGTCTTTCCTTCCTCTTCTTTTTGTTTAGTCACTTTCTCAGCCCCTGGATTTGCTGTCGTCTACTAGATTAAATCCCTACAAGCATTCATTATTGTAATGTGGGAAAACAAACAATTTCTTGGACTACTTCATATTCACAGAAAACAAATGGTGCAATATTTTAATAGCCCTCTGTGAACTGGATTGTACATCTTAAGCTCCTGACACTATTTTCTTCAAAAGCTTATTTATTCAAAACATATTTTCCCACTGTCTTTAAAGAAACAACTGTCTGGCTACTTAGTATCTCACAGTAAGTGTCACATCTTTTGCCTAGGAAAGGATTCTGTTGCAAAGACAAATGATAGAGATCTGAAACAAATCCAAGGCAAAATGCCAAACACGGTCAAAATTAAGAAGCTGTGAATCAGCAATGCACTGACATACATAAATAGAGGAAATTATTTTGTTTAGAAAGAGCAAACAACTCTGCAGTGATGTATGATGTATTTAATTCTTTTCAAAAGCTGCTACTTCACAGCTACCAAATTACAAAAATTACCATCTTGCAAAAAACTTACAAAAACTACCATCTTTTACAAAAACACCACCATCTTTGGCCTTGTGCTCCATCTCTTAAAAAGGGTCAGAGATTTTCATCTAACACATCCCATTAGCATGGCAGCATGACTTCTGACTGTTGTTGCAAATTCTACAGATGAACCTTAAAGTTTCAATCAAAGTAACTCTGTGTTATGCTGTATTAGTAATAGTAATTGTTCATTGTTTCACCAATGAGAAAAATGTTACTTTCAGAAGATTATCTGACTATATGCAATTTTGTTCTATTTATATTGTATTATATATTTAATTTTTAATTATGTGACTATATGTATGAAGTTAGGCTTCAAACTTACACTACTTTTGTATTTTAAAGATTTTTACTGGACTCTGCATCAATGCTTTGTCACCTTAATTTTAATAAACAATTTAAAATCTCCATATTTTATTTTGTAGATGAGTCTTGCATAGCAGTTGATTAAAACTGTTAAATGAAGCGTTTAATGTGAATTTAAAGTCACGTGTCAACTCATTTTCATCATTTCTCAAGGTATGTAAAATTTTCATTTAACTATGAATATTAACACAGCAGTATCTAAACACATCATTATCTTTTATTCATAGCAGGCATCTGAATAAAATGGCTTTTAGTTTGTATAAAATCGTTTTTCCTCTAATACTTATTTTGTTTTCTCACTGCAGTAAAAACCTGTGTCTCATTAGTCATGGCAGCTGTAGGACTGTGTTAGGGGAATAATTTTGAGGCTGAGCTATTGGACTGCAAGGCAGGAAGAGATTCAAAGGTCACAGGAAATTTAGAAAAGCTTTTAGATTAAGCTGTGTTTCCAAGACTGTCACTATGCTAATGAAGAATAGCTGGTGAAAATGGATATTTGCAATACATTTTAACTAACACTTTCTTTTTTATTATCTCACATTTTGCCAAATCTACCAGCAGCATAAACAGCACTGTAAAAGAAACCTATCAAAGTTGGTAGAAGAATGGGTCCAAGCAGCGAAGTGTTGGCATTTCCATTCATTTGTTATTCACTGATTTACAGCATTAGTAATTACAATGCTTTTCCCTATTTGACCATCTAAATTGCCTCAAATGTTGTGGGAATAGTACATAATTCTTCTGGTTTGAGTTTTAGCATTTGTACTTCTAGAAATAAAAGGTAAGAGAAAACTGCCTAGATGGTCATCATATATTAAAGAAAGTGGAATGCAGCCCAAAAGTTAATGTTTTAAAAATAATTCCATTCTAGAATGGAATAGAAAAGTGCTTAATGCAGAAATTGTCATATTCTAGAGGCTCTGACGTAAACTTGCAGGTAAATCAGAATGGAAGCTGTCTATCGTCAGGTTTATTCCATGAAAACATAAATTAAATCTTCCACAGAAGGTATTTAGGATTTTCAAAGTAAGCATGAAAAAGCTGCATAGTGATGTCAAGAGCCTGAATCATAACAGCACAAAGCAATGTAAGCAACATCTTGTATTCTTAAAAGCAATTCTATAGATGGTATTTTGTCTCTTATTTGTGTCTCTGATCATATGAGATTTGTTGTTAGAAACATACGTTGTTAGAAGCATATATGGTTTTCTATTATGGCCTGGGTTTAGGGCTTTTATCCTTAAAAAGATAAGCTGAAACAAAAAAGGTATGGCTGATTCTTTTTCCACTATTTAGAGTATGGTATAGATGTAGTAATATGTTTTGCCTATACAGTATTTTCAAACATGAAGACTCCTACAAGTAACTGAGGGTATAATTTGATGCTAAAGATGCACTAAACTTAGTTAGCATCAGATTACAGGCTGAGTTTGAAGTCCTGACAGTTGAAAAATATTTAAACTGAGACTATTTGCCTTAAAAATATATAAAGGTTAATTCTGGACAATATTTTGACAAACAGCAAATATTATCAGGGTATTAGCTGGTATTCAAAGACTAATCTTGGAACTCGTGATATTAGGTCATTTTCATGATGTATGCAGATGTGGTATGTGGCTGGAGAGGTTTTGTCTGACAATGTTACTCAGCCTGTGTGGGCAGTAAAGAATTAACCTTGTCTGCTGAACAAATTAGGCAATTGCAGAAGTTTTTTTAAGACACAGTACTGAAACAAAAGTTTGTATTGTACTGCCCTTCCTCAAGTACAGAGTACCTCATGCTGAAGTATCCCATTCATTTTAAAGATGCCACATTATGCTTACACAGATACACCTTTAAGCAGCTGAGCACAGGCTCTTGCCTTAGCATGAAATCAAGTATTACAGATTTGCATCCAAGTCTTGCTTCTTCTGTTTCACCAAACAAGCACAGATGGCAGGGGATTTTCTAGATTAACAATCACCTTCCTTTGTCCCTATCTCCAGAGTAAATTGCTGATAAGTCCTACTGGTCTTTTCAAAAGCTTTTAAAAGTATAAGAGGCTATATTTGGACAAATTACTTTAAAATAGCACTCCTTAGGAAAAAAATATTGTTCTGAAGCAGTATTCAAAACAGCTATTCACTTGCTGTGAAATGATACTCTGTGAAAGTGCCACCAGTATACTTCAGGTACAGACTGTGGAAGGTACTGATTGCAAGCACTTAAAATAACTGTTTTGAAGAAACAGAAGGCCACTGCAGAAGTTCTGTGATTTATGCTTCATGTGGGAAAACATGGTCTAAAGACTCTCTAACTCAGGAATTGAGATTTTCACAGTTGCATAATATGACAGCCCAGAGGGTCTTAATTTCTAAGCACTGGAATTAAGTTTTAAGTGAACTAAGAGACTTCATTCATGGGTACAAGCCATTCTGCAATATCTTTGGGGGGTTTAGAGTAAGTAAAGTTGTTTGTACACACACAGCTGTAATGTCACTCATTATTGGCATTAATTAGTGTGACAGAATTTGACCTAAAAGTCCCGAAGCGAGCAGTAATAATTCAGTTTATTTAGCTCTCAGCGTAGTTTAATAAAGATCTTGTGTTCATAGAAAATGGCATATTTAAACACATGTCTTGATTTCATAGATGCAGCACTCTGCAAATTACTTGGAGGGTAGGGAACATTTGCACTTTCTACACTAATGCCTCAAACCCCTCATATTTGCAGAGCTCAGAGTTTTGGCAGCAGGCCTGCAGTATGCTAAGGCTTGCTGGTCTTTTGTTTGTATCTTCTTTTTTTTTTTTCTTGTATCAGTATAATTCCCAACTGTTCTCTGCAATTTACCTGTCAAAGTGCAATTTTGCCAAAAGAGGTCCTGTACTCCATGTTAGGCAGGTGTCAAAGGGCACCCCCTCAGCTGGCACAAATAGAAATTGTGTTAGAACCACTTTACTAACATGCACCAGAAGGAGGAATGATTTTATGGTCTGCTCACATGAGACTTAAATATATGTGTTTTTTCCTGTTCAACAGCTTCTAGTGGGGACATATGAGTAGGTTTTGTAATCTGCTATCTATATTAAGTAGGAAGCTGCTTCTCTTTAGGACTAGGAATAGCTTTTCTCTTTGTTGCTAGAGTTGTTTGCTCAGACAAGACAGAGCTCCAAGAGATGCAGTTCTTGGAGTTCTCTACAACGGGTCGTAAAGATGAACATGCAAGTTAATTTCTGATTATTGTGGGGCATCAGGTAACACTGTTTATTCCAGATTCGTTCACAAAAGCCAGTCGGGTTAAAAATGGACTTAGAGGAAAGCTTCTGCATAAATTGTTTAAATTAATACCATTAAAAAAAAAATAAATTGGAAAATATCCCCTCTTATCTGTGTTAAAATTAGACAAGAAAATAGCATGGAGGGGGCTGGCAGAAAACTTCTCCCTCCCTTCAAAAGAAAAAGAAAAGAAGCGGTCTGTATTTTACAGCTTGCTGCTGGTTAATGCCAGATAAACTGCTAAAGAGTCCCAGAAAATAAGGAATATTGAAAATAGTTTTAATTGAGGTGTTCTTGACTTACAGGGCAGAACCGGGACCACTAAACATTATTTCAAGCATCAGAGCATAAATAAAAAATGGCATAAATAAAAAGGAATTGCTGAATTTACAGAGAGAACTTTATGAGCATGGTCTTGTAAAACAAGATTCAACCCTCTTCCCTTCTCAGTTCCTCCTGATATTTTTTAATACACGTTGCAAATCTGATACTTGAGGTTTTTCATTTTAAAAGATGAGTGAGTTTACCAGCTCCTGAAGTTGGCTCTGAATTCCTGGGAAAAAATTAAATAATCAGGTTAAAAATTAAATGATCTGGTTAAACAGCATTGTTTAGACAATTGCTCAGGGTGACAAGACAACTTATTTTTGCTTCTGAATCAGAATCTTACAAGTTTTGTATCTTTTTCTTAGTTACCCATCACCCACAAACCTTACACTGGTGCCACAAGCTTCTGTAGTTCTGAAAATGTAGACCTAGTAGATATTCCCTTCTATTTCTCTCTGTCGCACATTGTCCTGTGAATAGCAAGTTGCATCAGAGCATCACAGAAATCTTCAGCCTGAAATGGTAAGGGTGAGAGTAAACCAAGAAATGCTATAATAAATACTAGCAAATTATTGTTCAGTTTTTTAGAGCAGGGCAAAAAAAGAAAAAATAACCTTGGTTCAGATATTTTCATTTGCCTGAATTTCATATACCACAGGGCTGAAAGATGTAAAAGGCTGGTATTACATTGCTGTTTTTTCTCATCCTGATCATTGTCTTGGTTCTGTCCCAGAATACAAGTTTGTTGCAACTTCCCTTTTTTTATTGTGGAACTGCTAGGGTTCCCCAAAATTGCTGGCAGCCTAGGAATTCTCTGTTTTCCTCTCTGATCTTTGCTGTCTGTGCCTCAGCATACTGGTTCTTTTCCTCTCAGTGTTGTTTAGAGGTTGCAGGTGTTTACACTGTTAGCTCCTTTGAGTTTAGCTCCTCTCTGGTGTCATCCAGAAAAGTAGAAGAGAAAGGCAGAAAGAGCCTGCCTCTGCTGGGAGTGTCACAATGAACATCTGAAAGCATCTACTTCTGCTATTTCCTGTATCCTCTCTTAATGAATGAGTACCTCATAGATCTCTGAGAATATACATCAGGTACTAAATGTTGTGTCGAATGAGCAGTAAAATGTAGCAACTTTAATGAGGAAACAGGCAAAGGAGCAGACCTGGCACCTGACAGACCCACACCAGTAAAAAATTCCCTCTGAAAGATGAGTTTATTTTGTCACATTAGCTCAACTGGCAAGATTAATTGAGATTGGTTTATGAACCCCTGTGCAAAAATTGAACATTGGTATCTGATTTCCTAGACAAGATGCTGCACTCTCCCACTGATACACAACTATAAACAGTAGTCAAGCACTGTATAAAGGACAACTAAGCCCCTGATCCCTACAGTTTGCATTTCAGACACACAGTGAAGCATTGAAGAGGTCTAATGTCTGATTTCAGTTCAGTGAGGATGATTCCCAAAGACAGAATCTCCCCCATTATCTTCTGCCTTCAGCTCATGCAAGATAAAATAGAACTGCCAAAGTTCAGTAAAGAAAGAGGGAACATATTGTTTTGCAGTGGGGAAACAGAATGACAAACTTCAGAAATTTCTTTTTACTAGTTTTGGGTCTCTACTGTGCTTGATTCTGGGACTGCACCTGCCTATACAGGCTGACCCTGGGAAATCATACCTTGTCAAGGCTTACCTTAAGCTGATACATAGTTCGACTCAGGCCTGTTGAACAAATGTGGCTGAGACACAGATGTGACAGGGCTATTCCAGCTATCTCATGCTTCCCGTGCTGCACGGGAAACAAGAATAAATTAGAGAATTTCCAAAGCTGTTCTGGCTCTCCTGGAGTAGCTTCTCTGTCAGGTTGCTCCCCATGCACATCTGTGCTCCTGGATTCAGCATGATAGGCTGAGCAATGAGGCTTGTTATGTGCAAGGAATGTTCATTTAATAAGACTGAAGAATAACCGGTTGTTCTTCCTCTACGCTAGCAGGTTTACAGGTTAAATAAGTCAAATCTCCAAGGAAGTAAGTAGCAAATGGGTTTAAATTTGGTGATACAGATTAGGTTAGGGACGGACATACAAAGAAGATGTGGGGTTGATGTGCGCTCATTTGTGGGGTTGATTTCAGGTTTCTTGAAAACTCAGTATGTTTTTATTAATGAAGTCTAGAATCAAGAACTACTAATACATCTCCTGGGTTTTAGTTGGGTTTTATTTTTACATTCACCTTGATGACCCAAGCTAGATTGTCTTTGGAAGATTCATGAGCGGTGTGGAAAAGTTTCCTGCTCTAGTTTATAGGAATACTGTCTCCTTCTCATGATGAAAAAAAAGCAAGTTAATAATATTTTCTCTTCTGTAATTGAAACAGCTTCTCTAATTTCTAAAGAATTGTTCTGATTTTACTTGCATTTCCTACTGCTCCAAGTGTCCATGGGTCTGATAACTGTGATAGTCCCTCAAAAATATGGGGATTACATGGAAATAGTTGCATGTATTCTAATATGAATGCATAAACAAATGCTACTGTAAAACAATTTAAAGGAATGTTGTGAGTTGAAAGAGGAAAATAAAACTAGCAGGTTTTATCTACACAAACTTGTTATTTCTATATGGTAAAAAAAAGATTTTTATTCATGGGTTTTTAAAGATTAAATACAAAAGTATTTAATCAAGTGTAATTGCTCCCATTGAGTCTGAATCAGTCCTGAGAAAATGAATAGTGTTATCTGAACCACAAATCTGCTGCTAACCAAAATCAATGAGAAGTACAAAAGTCACCTGAATTATGAGCTGACCCTGCTAAATAGGACTCAGGTGACCAGCAGCAGATTTCAATTATTGGATGTACTCTAGGATTGAATGCATACTTTTACAATTAGTTATTGATTTAGCCAACTTCCATACATCATTCTTTTGTCTCTAAGCATAATGGTTTTGTGATTCTTTTTTAACTCCCCAGTTGTTGTACAGCTACACTTATTCCCAAGCCTAAATGATTTTTTTCCTACATGATGTATCCTCTGGTACTAAGTGACTTGTCTTATAATTACTCAGTAAAGGAAAACTAGGTAAAGAAGGTAACTAATGAGGGCTGTTGGAACAGAGTTTATAAAGGTAGATAACTGGCTATGCTGAAGAAATTAAGTTCAGTTCAATGAGAACCAAAGTTTTCACTTTTTCAAAGCTATCCTTTCAATGGGCAGAAATACTTAATCTTGTGAATACTGTTCTGTAGGGACAGTATTCACAAGGAGCAGTACATTCACATGTAAATGAAAAAGAATAGATACATTGTGAATAACGTTATTGCAGTGAACTACATTTTTGAGGTCTTTCTGAAAGCTATGGACAATGATGTTTCATACAATAATAAAACAAGTTAGCGCATGGCGTAGAACAGTTTTACTCGAATTGTTACAAATGCACTGTGCTTGTCCTTAAAGGTGTTTTGCAAAAGAAAGCCAAAACCACAGTTGTCATTGTTCCCCCCTGAAGGTCTTGAAAGTAATTTTTCACACACAGTTCTTGAAAGCTTTGACAAGTCTTGGCTCTGGAATAAGTGAATAATAGTAAGCAGCAAGCTAAAAATACTACAGTGAAATGAATGAATACTGAGAACAACTAGCAGAGTGGTTTACTGTTCCCTTATTTCATTTGTTATCCTAACAACTGCAGCTGCAGTACATGCTTAGAAAGTAGTAAGTGTATTCTTGATTATACTGTTTACAGGACCTGATAGAGAAGTCATTTTAGCAACAAGAATTCAAGCTAGAATAAGCACATACTGTGTCTTAAATGTTCAGTGTATGTAGGTAAGAGAATAGGGGAAGGTTGCAGAAAAAGACCTTGATATTACTTTCCTGTGAGTGTGCAGCGAGGCCTGACAGCTCCCTGTGAGCCAAGGTGCCAGGAGTGGCGGTGGTGGTCCCCATGGTGAGAATCAGGGCAGAGCCTGGCAGCCAGCGCCCATCCCACCGTCTCCAGCTGGGGAGCAAGGACAGCCCCAGACTTGGGCAGTGGGCACCTCTGAGGCTCTGATGGTGCCAGGATATGGCCTGGTGAGGGAAGCTGGACCTCACCAGTAAGGCTAGCTGGTGCCCTCAGGCCTGTGACACTTGTGACTGAGAGTTCCGATTTCAGCTGGAAAGATGTTATGTAAAGTTCACCTTAACTGTAAACTCTCATTGGAACATAATAATTCTCTGAAATATCCTTTTTCAAGACTGGAAGTTTGCTTTTGTAAAATCATTAGTAGTTCTAAGCACCCAGTGGGAATTTTATCAACTTGTATAGCCACTTACTGTTTTGAGATCCCATCGTAGGCTTCCATATGGTGATGCTAAAAGCAGTGAAATGGTCACTGAACTGAATTCCCTGTGCCAACATTATTACAGAATGTCTTTTGGGGGATTTTTTTGACCCATGGGTCTTTAGAGAGTATCAGTTGTAGGTAGGACACTGACATTATTCTTTTGGTCTTCCTAGGCTGGCTTTCTTTCAGGTATATTTAATCAACAGAGTTCATATTTCCCCTCACAGTGAATGGGACATCTGTGTAGTACTAAAGAAAGTGTTGCAAAATCATTTGTTATAATGAGAAAGCTATGGTGAAGCATCTGTACATGCTTGTTAATTGTTTTGAGAAATCTGTTCATTTGCATAGGTACCTAAATGAAACATTACAAAATGCTACAAACCATAGCTTTTGCACATATTCAGCTGCTCCAAATTAAAAGGTAGAGCAAAAGGTTGGTAGGAGTTACTAGTTTATTTAATTGTGAATTTTGAATAATTGTCTTTTCTAAGTTGATTATATATGCCCAGTTTTAACAAGCTTTCTGAACCCGTTGCTTTCTGAGCTCTTATTGCATATGTCACCAGCCATCAAAAATCCAGCCATGTGCTCTTTCTTCTGGCAAAGTGTGCTGACTTGAAAGGAGTTTGAATATAGGTAGTAACTGAACAGGGGTTTGGACTTGGTTTCCGTTTCTCTCCTTTGTGGGGAGAAGCTCCTATTCAGCTGTAGCAAGAAACCTGAAGAGTTTCTCAATTAATGTAGGAATAGCTTATAAAACACAATAATGGTGATAGTAAAAATGCAGTCTTTTTTAAATTGTGTATGTCCATGCTTGTCTTTTAAGTACCTTCTGGGTTTTCCAGTCATTTTACACTTTACTGCTGTAATTGCACAAACTTGTCCTGGTGAGATTAAATGTATTCCCAAGTGTATAATCTCATTTTGCTCAAGAAGAAATCTGTATTCCACCTTTCATTAATTATGGTGGAGTAGTTAATTTTTATGTATTACTAGCTGATTGCATGAACTCTACCTTTGTCATTTCTTCATCTAATGTGAAAGGTCTGATTTACAAGCTAAATGAACCCAGTAGTTTATCATAACAAAGTCTAATGGCATGGTATGATTTTAAATGATGCTGCTGCTTTCGCTACTAATTAGTGTAAGATTTCTCTACCACTCTTACTTTATAATTTCAGTTTTAGAAGTGGTAAACAGAAAATGACAATTGCATATCTAGGCAGACTGACATGGAAAATAAACAAGCAGTAATTTTTGGATGCTTGACACATGTTACCATAATAGAAAATCATTGTAAGCAGTCAGAAGATTTAGCAGATACCCGACTGAAGTGTTCATCAAGATTCTTGAGAGAGTGTTATGGAAACTGTATTTCTTGTTTATCAATTTAATCCAACAATATGCTAGTTTTGGCAATGCAACACAGGACACTTGAGTCTAACTTCGGTACAAGCAAAGTTTATGCTTATTTTGAAAACAGTTTTAGAGATGAAGATAAGCTTTCCTCAATAAATGTAACATTACTTCCATCAGATTTTGAAATATATGGCATGAAAGAGCTGCTCTAAAGGTGTTCTTATTTGAGATGTGAACGAGAAAATGATTGTATCACTGATCAAGGCTTTTCAGAAGACAGAGAGAACAATATCTTCTGGTATTTTTTCGTTCCTATAACTGAGTGATATTTTTCTGAAGTGGAATGCTTTCATCTCTATTTTTCCACATCTTTTGTAACATTAGTGAGACTTTAGAACACCTTTCAGAAAGTACTGTGGACACACTGTTTTCTGCCAGAAACTCCAATCTAGACACTCACAGCTTGCATGCATAGCTTGATGATTTGAACTCCATCCTTTAGCTGAGCTCAGGAATTATAAGAACAGGCAATGCCCTTTAATACTTTAGAAGGAAATAAAACCCCAAAACTATCTTTGGAAACTAAAATTTTCTTTTAATTGGAAAAGAAAAACCCCACTGGATGTAATAGTTTTCTGAATATTTTTATTGGATTATCTTTTCTCTTAGATTGTACAGGCTTTTTGAGCTTGAGATGTTCTTTTTTGAAATGTTTAGTTACCCAATATTATAATACCTATTATATTGTAATTGTTTAGTTACCTAATATTGTATACCTAATATCTAATAATATAAATATTCAGGACTTATGTCCAACTGGATATATGTTACAATCTGT